GACCCTTCGTTAGCCGTCATTTTTTTTAAATGGAGTGCAATGCTAACCTCCGGTGAGTTCCCTAACCACCATCAAGTCGACACCCTCGGCTACTTCTTTCTTCAAAGTTGAAGCGTCCACTAACTGATAACACAATAGCAGAACCGTCAAATTTAAGGATACATGTTCTATCATAAACAATTCTTTCGATTAAGTAATAGAGTCGATTAAAAATAGGGGTGGCAATTTCGCAACTTGGACCGGATCCGATCCGGATCCATGTGGATCGGATACAAATGGAACTGGATCCAAAACCAACCTATATGAATGGATTAATGTGGATCGAACTTAGACCGATCCGGATTGGATCCACATGGACTCATTCCATTTTTAATTCAACTTATGAGGTTGAATATCTCAACTTTTAGGATTTAATATCTCAATTTATGTGGTTTAATATCTCAAGTTTCAAACTTACACATATTCACAGACACACACACACACTCACATACACACACAGTTTTTACACACACACACACTGTTTTAACACACGCACACACACTCACATCCACATACACACTTTTTACACACACTTTTCATACACTCTCACACACACACACGCACACACTCACATACACACACAGTTTCTACACACACTGTTTTACACACACACACACTCACATCACACACACACACACACATACACACACGCACACACTCACATACACAAATATATCTAATGTATGTCAGTACCACACACACACACACACACATCCACACACAGTTTTACACACATGCACGCACACACACTAACATCCACACACTTTTCATACACTCTCACACACACACGCACACACACTCACATACACACACAGTTTCTACACACACACACACACTGTTTTACACACACACACACTCACATCCACATACACACTTTTTACACACACTCAACTCTAAGAACGTCTTGAGAATTTTTGAGCGGTTAAAATTACAATTAAAATAATATTTGACTTTATTTTTTTGAGAAAATTGTTTTAGTATTTAATTGGGTTATGATTGGGTCCAACATGGCCCACTTCATTTTTAGTTGAACTTTCAATGGATCTAAAGTGGATCCACATGGATTCAGTTTAAAAAAAAATTCAACTTGATCCGATCCGGTTTGTTCCAACCAGATTTAATCTAAACTGGATCCATGTGGACCGATCCGGATCTAATCAGATCCATGGAACCGGATCCAAATTGCCATCCCTAATTAAAAATACTCGTATAGCCGCTTGTAACTGCACTAGTAAATAGACTCGATTGATACACGCCTATTGACAGACGAACTACCCCGTTTTTTTTTTTTCATAATCCATTACTTAGGGTATGCAAAGTAAAACCGAAACAAGGATAAACTTTACTAATTACATTTCACGTAACATCGCCAATCTAGTACAACTAACAGACAATACATCAAGAAATAAAATATAAACGTAATCGAATTCATAAGCACAATAAATAAAACCAATCAGCATCAGATAAAAATCTTTTCTTTTTTTACCTGGGGTAAAACGGTAGCGGGTCTCAAGTTCGCAAACACCTTAAGACCGGCCCGAAGCTGAAGCAGTCCCGTTTCGGGCTTCAAATGTTTCTCATTGTTATCCCATTTATACCTTCATATCAATTATATATATTTTTTAATTAGATTAATTAAAAAAAAAAAGTTTTTTAAAACAAGAAAAATTGAAACTTGGTTCATCTTCCAAAAAGGTAACCAACACCTACCCTCCAATAGCTCCAAGGAGAACGGCATGTGAATCCTTAGCGGCGGAAAGGGTTTCTTCCGGCAAGGGCACTCCGGTCAAATCCAAGGCGGCGCCGCCCATCGGCATTTCCTTGAACTCAAATTCAATCCCTGTAATTACACACCCACTTACTTAAAATTTAAATCCCTGTAATTATTTCTTAATAAATTCGATTTTCGTTGATTAATTACCTTCGATGGAACCGACTTGCTGTAGGGCGTTCTTAGCAACGGAGATGACTTCGGGGCCGATTCCATCGCCGGGGAGGAGAGTGAGGGTGTAGCTTTTCGACGGCGTTGCGGCGGCGCAGCGAATGGTGGAGAATTTGGGAGAGGGTTTCGATGGAGAATTAGGGTTGAGTAATTGGGGTTTAAAGGGTTTGAAGTTTAGTTGCAGAGAAGCCGCCATGGTTAGTCACTGGATTGAGAGTGAGAGTGAGACTGCTCTACGAAAACCAATTAACACTCCCCAAGTAGCAAAATGGTATTTTCTAATTAATTAATGCGCTAAAATGTAATTTGCAGATATATTGTGGGGCAAAATGTAATTTTCTCATTTATTTGGGGTGGAAAGTGTAAATAACAAAACCTCACTTTTGAAGACGAGTTGCAGACATTTTTTCGAAAGAATTACATTTATGGTCCCTCATATTTGGTCAGATTCTATTTTTGGTCTCCATTGTTCTGAGGTTCGATTTTAAACATTCTCGGTACCCGTAACCAAAAACACTATTTTTGGGGCTAAATTTGCAATTTAAAATTTAGTTATAAGTAGTATAATTCTAATAATATTTAGGGGTGTTTGCCAATACTTTCATAAAGTCAAAAGTTAGTAATTCTGAATTAAGCTCTAAAACATCACTTATTTGTAAAAATTGTGGGTGTTTGCAAACGATCTATGAAATCAACTTTAAACAGTCAATTTAAAAGTCGCAGTGTTTACAAACAAACTTAAAATTTCAACTTATTATATTTATAAAATGTCCTAATTGCCTGATAAATACATAAACTATTGAATTTATAAATACACAAAGAAATATATAAATTATTTATATAAGGGAGGTGATATTCGCGGTAGCAAAATTACGAATGTCGTTTTAAAAAATCCACTCTCTATCTTTCTTTCTCTCTCTACAATTTTAGCTTTTATATTAGAAATCATTCCAAAACTCATGTTATTGTAGCCATTTGCAAAAAAAAATTAGTGCATCGAATGAGGATCGAGATACGGAATCCAATGAGGTAAAGTTTGTTCGTTTTTGTTCTTTAAATCGTGAAAACGCGACCCACGACCAATTTGGACGCCGAAAAATACGATTCACGCCCAAACTAGGCGCAAAAAACTCGATTCACGCCCGGTTTGGGCGCGGAAAAGCACTTCCGGCGCCCGGTTTGGGCGCGGAAAAGCACTTCCGGCGCCCGGTTTGGGCGCCCAACACAGCTATCCGCGCCCGGTTTGGGCGCGTGTGCTGAATGAGTTTAAATAAAAAATAAATAAAAATACCATATATTTGTGCTACTATAGGGACTCGAACACGAGCTCCTTTTGATGAAGTTCTAACTTACCTAACCAGCTAGGCAACAGTCAATTCAGTTATAAATTCTTATTTAACAATAATTAGCCATTTCATTATACTGGGGAAAAAATAAACAAATACGCGCTGCTACCATGACTCGAACACGGGTCTATTGGGTAATAGACAAAACGCCTGACCAACTAGGCTACAGCGAGTTTGTTAATTAGTACTTATTTAAGTATATTCATTCAATTCCGTTATACTGGGAAAAAAAAAAAAAATGAACCGGACGACCGGTCCAGAACCGGCGTCTGGACCGAACGCCCGAAGTAATTTTCCACGCCCATTTTGGGCGTGAAAAATTCGAAAACCCAACACTAAAAACAGCCCAAAATCGCGATTTTCATGGGATTTTCACATGATTAACCACAAATTCAATATATATAACTACTTTAGATGATTAATTACGTTTCAAATTGACGGGATTTTTAGATTTGGGATGATTTGTGAGAGAGGTAGAAGATTTTTGTGAATTTTGGGGGGTTTTGGGGATTTTGGGGTTTGGGTAGATTTGAGGATTTTTAGAGAGAGAAAGAGAAGACTATTGTGAACGACGTTCGTAATTTTGCTGCCGCGTTAATCATTTCAGTTTATATAATTTATAATCAATGTTCTGTTACTTTTTCAACGGAAGAATGCATATGTATACATCATGCATTCAACAAGTTCTTATTTTAGACTTTCTATACGGCCATGGATTTTTTACTTAGCAAATAGTTTACAATTATTGGAGAATACTTTAATTTTTATATTAAAATATAATAGTCTTTTTGAAACAGTGTGGAAGTGTTTGATGTGACAGTGTTTTGATGTGAATACTGGGTAATGCTAAAGGTGGGGATGAATTAAATTAAGTGTTAGATAAAAAAAACAACCATGTACTATGGATTTTGTATCATATATTATTTGTAGTATGCATAAATACAAAAATTCCCTACTATTATATTTTTTTTTATAATCTGACGAAAATACCTCTGTTAAGTCTATAAATATAAGGGTTTGTTTGAGTTATTTTCAACTATATTTTTTAATATTTTCGGTCAATTTTACTTAGGAAATTTTGATTTTTTGATTTTTTTTGTCCAAAACATTTAATTACTTAGATTTTTTTTTTATTTTCTAAATAAAACTTTTTAATTACTTAGATGTTTGTAATCTTAGGATATTTGAACTACCGGAAGACATTTAAGAAAAAAAAATGAAGAAACTCAAAATGACAAAAAAAAAAAGATTTTATTCTGAAAATTAAAAAATCTTAACAATTAGATGTTTTGGAGAAAAAAAAATATAAAACCAAAATTTTCCACGTAAAATTGACTGAAAATAATAAAATATATAACGGAAAATGACTCAAACAAACCCTTTTATATAAAGGGGTATTTTCGTTAAAAAAAATATATAATGTGAAGGGGGTTTTTATATTTATGTGTAGTACATGGGTGTATATGATACACAATTCATAGTATAAAAGTGTTTTTGTATTTAACCATTAAATTAATTATAAGGGTAAAAATGAATTAAAATATTTAATACAACTTATTTTTATTTACAGAAATGCCATCCTCAGAAAACTTGGGTCAAGCCTACTTTTGAGATTATAGCTTAAAATAATTTATTTTTAGAAAAGCAAAAGTATAAGTTGGTGTAACAAACATTAAAAAATAGATTATGTAGCAAGAAAAGCTCATACGCTGTTTGCAAACGCGTTTCCAAACACCCCAAATATAATTAAACATAATATTTAGTTAATTTATTTTTTTATTGTTAAAAATTTAATTATGAGTAATATATATTAAATTTCTGATTATTTTGCTGTCCCAAAAAGAATTTAAAATTTCAATTTTGTTTCCAAAATAGTGTTTTCCGTTACTTGCTAACGGTAGGGGTGAGAAAAAGAAACCGAGGAACCGAGGAACTGAACCGAAAACCGACAAAACCGAACCGAATTGCACCCAACCGAATAAACCGCATACTCGGTTTTCAATTTTATGTGAATCGAAAATTTCGGTTCGTATTCGTTTTTCAAGTAGGAAACCGAACCGACATCAATACGACGTCGTTTCATTAAATATATATATATTTTTTACTTGAATGAATTTCATTGATTTTTTGGCCTGTTTTGGGCCTACATTTGAGCTTGTTTTTTTATTGAATTTCTTTATTTCTGAATTTTGAGTTGATTTATTGACGTTTTTTGGCTGATTTTCGGGCCCAAATGAGCCCAAAACCGAACCGAAAACCGAACCATTATTGAAACCGAACCGAGAATTTTATGAACCGAGAAGGAACCGAGACCGAACCGAAACCGATCGGAACCGAACCGCAAGAAACCGATCGGTTTGGTTTTTTGTTCTTAAGGAACCGAACACTTCGGTTCCGGTTCCGGTTTGTGCCTAAAACCGAACCGAACTGAACCGTTCTCACCCCTAGCTAACGGGCATGTAACGACGAGGACCGAAAGTGTTTAAGAACACCTTGGAGGTGAACTTTGTGTATTTTGGAACAACGGGAATCAAAAGTGGAATTGGGCCAACCATGAGGGGCAAAATGTTATTTTCTCATTTATTTGGTGAAAAGTGTAAATAACAAAAACCTCGCTTTTGAAGACGAGTTGCAGACATTTTTTCGAAAGTGAAATCCCTAAATCATGCTTTCTTCAATCAACTCTAAAATCCACCATTTCCGCTTACGTCACTCTCTTCTTCTCTCACACCTCCAATTTCTCCTTTATTACCACACTGCCCCCCGCAGAAACCCTCCAAACGCCACGTCACCTCCAATTCAAACCCAGTCAAAACCCGACCTTTTCACCGCTCCGGCTCCGGCTCCGACCCATTTCAGCTGTTCGGATTTTCAACCCGACACAGTTCTCGAAACCCTAAATTGTTACGCCAACGACTGGAAGCTTGCGTTGGAGTTCTTCAATTGGGCAGAAACTCAGACCGGGTATCAACACACAACTCAAACACTGAACCGGATAATCGACATTCTCGGTAAATTTTTCGAATTCGATGCCGCCTGGAAATTAATCGAAAGAATGAGTAAAAACCCATGTTCTTCACCCGATCACACAACTTTTCGGATTTTATTCAAGCGTTATGTATCGGCTCATCTTGTTGAAGAAGCAATCGAAATTTTCGGTAAATTAGACGAGTACAATTTGCGTGACGAAACGTCTTTATCGAACCTAATCGACGCTCTGTGCGAGTACAAACACGTCGTCGAAGCCGAAGAGCTCTGCTTCAAGAGCAAAAACGGGGACAATGTCGATGGTAATGTGTTCGGTTTTAGTGTCGAAAGTACGAAGATTCACAACATGATTCTGCGCGGTTGGTTCAAGATGAAGTGGTGGAGCAAGTGCCGGGAGTTTTGGGAGGCGATGGACAAACGTGGCGTGACGAAGGACCTGTTCTCGTACTCGATATACATGGACATCCAATGCAAGAGCGGGAAGCCGTGGAAGGCGGTGAAGCTCTACAAGGAGATGAAGAAGAAAGGCGTTCGGTTGGATGTCGTGGCGTACAACACGGTCATCCGCGCGATCGGGATCTCCGAGGGCGCTGACGTGGCGGTCAGCCTCTACAAAGAGATGATCGAGCTGGGGTGCGAGCCGAACGTCGTCACGTTCAACACGATCTTGAAGCTGCTGTGCCAGAACGGGAGGTATCGGGAGGCACACCAACTGCTCGATCTAATGCCTAAGAAAGGCTGCGAGCCCGATGTGATAACTTACCACAGCTTCTTCACTTGCTTAGAGAAGCCGAAAGAGATTCTGAAGATGTTCAATAGGATGGTGGAAAGTGGGGTCCAACCGAGAATGGACACGTATGTAATGCTTATGAGGAAGTTCGGGAGATGGGGTTTTCTTCGGCCGGTTATTGATGTGTGGAAAAAGATGGAAGAACACGGGTTGAGCCCCGACGAGTCTGCATATAATGCTTTGATTGATGCTTTGTTGCAAAAGGGTTTGGTCGATATTGCGAGAAGATACGATGAAGAAATGTTATCGAAAGGAATTTCTGCTAAACCGAGAGCTGAGTTGCAGAAAAAAACGGATGATGAAGTATCGCAAAATGTGTAAGTTTTTCGTATCTGGGGTTTTTGTATAGCTAAGCATGCCAATTTTCGATTGATCAATCAAGGTATATCTAATAGTATTATTATCGGGGAAATTACAAGTTTCATCCCTCAAGTTTGCATTGATTTCACATTTGGTCCCTCATGTTCCAATAATTTAACACTTTTGGTCATTTCCGTCAATTTACCGTTAGTCCGTTAGTTAAGGTAGTCATGGAACATGCTTGATTCCGTTAGTGTTAACGGAAAATTGACGGAAAGGATTAAAAGTGTTGAATTTTTGAAACATAAGGGACCAAATGTGTTTTTTTTTAACATGGGGGACCAAATGTGAAATCGGTGCAATCATGAGGGACAAAAACTGTATTTTTCCCTATTATTATCATTAGCCACACTGATGATGACAATGACAAATTTAGATTATCGTATCATTCTATAAATTAAAAAAAAAAAATCAAGGTAAATTTTATTACACGAATTAACGTGCAAATGCCATCCTCGAAAAGTTTTCTAAATCTTAATCTACGACTAACATCTTATTGTACGACTAACATCTTATTGTCATTCATTCAAATCTTGGCTGTTTTTCGTTTGTTTATTAACACACTTTTATTTTTTTTTGAATAATCTTTTAATTTACAGTTTGTTGTTGTTTGAATTACCAGGCACAGTTATACAGGCGCACGCAGTCGATGACGATGAGACGAAATTTAATGACTCATTACTTTGAGCATTTCATCCACAACCATGCGCAGATTGGTAATGTCGGTGTGACAAAGTAAGTTGCTATATTTGTGGGATTTTTTTTATTTGTTATTATGTTGTTTCTCGGGATTCGTCTACAATAATGACTCAAATCTTCGACTTGTCAAGTCTTTGCAAATTATTGCTATATATGTATATGTATATCTTGATCCTCTGTAAATTTTATTTCAGCAGAACAGAATGGGAAAAATGGCTCGCCGATTCAGCTGTGTGCCGTTTCTCGTTAAACGAAAAGGGCAAAATGGTCATCTCCTGCTAATCATCACCATAACAAAGGTCTTGACTGGCTATCCCATCTTATTGTAATGGATTACTTTGTCTTGGTGAAAGATTGTGATTGTACAAATAGCTGTAGAA